GAATACTATTCTTTGAAGAATATTGCTACACCCGGAATACTATAATGTTAAGAATACTCTTCGCTGTGCAATAATGACATTCCAGGAGTGGTATTATTAATGAAGCACTATTCTGTGAAGTGCATGGATATCCCAGGAGAACTATTGCCTGAAAAATACTGATGTGTATTCATCTCCAATGGTGAAGATTGCGGAAGTTCCCGTAGTACTGTTATATGAATGTACTAATGGATGAACTATAGTGATATTTACAGGGTACTGTTGTCTGTAGAGGACAGTCCCATAAGAATAATGGCTCCTCTGGAACTATATTCTGTGAGCCATCTCACGTGTGCGTAGTATTCTTATTTGCAAAGCACAATTGTGCAATGATAATGCATGTCTCCGAAGCACTATTATTTAAAGCGTTTCGATATACCCAGACTGCTTATCTATGGGGCGCCCTATTCTATTAACCGTAGGAATATACGAGTAGTAGTATCTAGTCAAGTAAACGTATGTGCCCCGAATATTAATATGCGGTGGATGAAACATTGGACGTTTCGTTATTTGAATACAAGCATTGTTCATACAGCACTGATGTCTTCTCATTTGCGGTACCTTATTTTTGAAGGGGTTAAAATCCCGGCTGTAATATGAGGAGATAAGAGTTTTACAAATTCCTGTGATGTATCTGCAATAGCATTTTTTGAGGAGAAGCCGTATCCTAAAATTAGTATCATATGCAGAGTACTGTTTTCCCTAGGATATCATTGGTGTTGATAACATTAATGTTACGAAGATATCTTTGACAGGAGGATAGGAATATCCCTAACATAAGAAGAAATTATCATATTAGCAACGGGAGAAGAAAAAAATGAAGTAGAGGAAATGCCCAAAATGAAGTTTATGCATTGAAGGTACTGCGACATTGAGCAAAATTCTCCATTTCAGAGGAAAAATAAATATATAGAGTAAAATCATATAAATGACTTAAGAGTATCAACAGACATAAACAGGAAGCTGGAAGGAAGCATGCAAGGGAGAAGTAGCCCTCTATAACCAAAGAGGACAAAGGTAACTCAACAAATAAGAGTACCTAAAGGAATGTTCACAGAGAAGAAATCAGCCCAGAAGAAGGAAAGTAGGAACAGCAGGGAACAGTTACAGTAACATATGAGGTGGGATGTTCACCTGTCCCAATATCGCATCAAAAAAGGGACGAGTTAATTGCCAACTTTCCTGTTTCAGAATACACGCGATTATTCGCAGTTAGCGAGAAACATATATAAGTACCAAATTTCTTACATATATTAATTCGTGTTCTAAATTTTTTCCTATCTGTATTGAGCGTTATGGCTTGAATTACAAACTCTACAATTTTATTTGCTGCCCCAGGAGGTAATATCCTATGATACACTTTGTGATGTTATACATGAAAATATATAATGGTTTAAAATCGATTTATTTCTTCTTTGAAGTTTCAGAGGCTTCCTTAAAAGCTATTTTGTTTTTGTAAAAATATAACAAAATTTATAATGTGAATTCTGGAGGAGTTACCACATTCGGTGTCTCTACGGTTAGTGTAAAAGTATCCACTTTTGTTGTATCTAAAGTCGTAATCATAAGATATCTATGTTGACTGCATGGCTCACTACTGGTCAAAGGTCTGACCTGAAAGTTGTTTTTTTACCTGTATATTCTGTGTTGCCCTGATTTCGAATATAAGGATTCCAATTCTTTGGATCGCA